CACACATACAAATGTGTTAGGTGAGTATATCAGTTTCTGTTTATCTTTCTTGAATAAAGAATTGAATTTCTTTTAAGATCAGGTATGAAATTGGATTATCTATCATCTTGGTTTTTCATTGCATCTCATGTTTCTAGAATTTTTCTTACATGATATTATTTTCTTAGTAAATGTGAATCCATTTTCTTCAACAGTGCATTGTATTATTTGTGACTTGTTATAATTGAAATGCCATCATAGCCTTAGTGATTTACAGTTTTTTTGTGATATGTATAGCTTGAGAACTGATATAATCTTTTTTTTTTCTTTTAGCTCTTTTTTTTTTTTTTTTTTTTTTACATTCTTAATCTTAGACTGTCCAATCTTCATTTTTGGTTAGAATTTGCATTGTGTAATTATTAAGATCTGGAACTGGAAGTTTTTGTATTTGAGTGTAGACATCTTGTGTGCTGTTATTGTGATATTGTCTTACTCATTAGAACCGGAACTAAAATGCTCTCATAAAACAAGATGTTGAACTTATATTTCATGACGTATTTACAAGTGTTACTTAGTTATTTACTTGTCCTAATATTTGAAAATCATCCAAGTTATCATTTCTACTTTTTTCATTAAATAGACAATGGAAGTCATTTAGGTTATGTTCAAGCAAACAGTCTAGGCAATGCCCTATAGGAAAAACAATCAACTTTGTTCCGATACAATTAAAAACTGATTAAAAAAATACAAAAACATATATTGTGATATAATTATTGATAAGGTGACTCTTCCCATGATGTGCTTGCTGACAAGGTGACACTTTTTTTTGTAATCTGCTTGCTGACAAGGTGACACTTTTTGTAATCTGCTTGCTGACAAGGTGACACTTTTTGTAATGTGCTTGCTGACAGGGTGACATTTTTCCAGTGATGTGCATGTTGAGAAGGTGACACTTGTCTTGATGTACATGTTGGCAAGATGACAATTCTGGTGATGTGCTTGTTGACAAGGAGACAATTTTCATGACATAATTATTGTCAAATTGACACTTGATGAAACTAATAAAATGAAATTCTATGCATGACTAAGAAATATGATAAAGATTTCTTTGCATGGACATTTGGCACATGCATATCTCAACGACAATTTCTACAAAAAATATGCTTGAGAAACACTGAACCTTGAAATCATAAAAAAACATCAGAAGCATGCATCAAGGAACTGATGCAAAATAGATTATCAAATTAAATAAGAAAAATTAATTTTTCAAGTGCCAAATTGCTTAGCATAATGAGCAAATTTTATGGGAAATATTTTTTAATTAGAGCTATAAAAATCTATAAAGTTTTATTTACAAATTTTCATTTACATGTTAATAAAATTAAACTATATCTTTCATTAGCATGATATTTATTGAAGGCAGAATTATTCTTCATATGAGTGTACAGTCTAAATTCAAAATGTGTATATATGCATGTATTATCTAGATTTTAAAAATTATATTTTACTTAGAAATTTTTAATAGTAAATTCAATTGGAAATACATTATTTGACCTTTTTTAATCATTAAAAAAACACAAAAATAAAAATAATGATCCATCAATTTAACTGTTTGACAATTTGACAGAAGTGGTGCTCCAGCCTTCATTGACATTGGGGACTGACTTATCCAGCAAATGTAGATTGAAATCTGAATTAACACAGGAATTTTAAGAGTTTACTTAGAAGGCAATTGGAATACTAAGTAAGATTGAAGTTTTGAAGTTTGTATTTTTTAATTATTTATCAGAAATTTTATTTATTTTTAAAAAAAGTTTTTAAGCTGTATGTTCTTTCAGGGTGTAGGTGGTCATGACTTAAATGTTTCCTTTCTTTAATATCTCTAACTACCATGACTAAAGAAAGGTAGTGTAGTGTTTTCCTGTTACTTTATACTCTTTTTATATTGGGTAGAGAGTCCAGTCTACCTTTCAATTTATTACTAGGAGGAGGAGAAATGGATTTATTCCTTTCCCAAAGATATTAGAATGAAATGAACACAACAGACCTGGTCAGAATGTGAATTCAATATTATGCAAAAACTTATCAGTTTTGTAAATATTTGATGTCAGAAAAAATGTATTTGTCACTGAAATGAAAAAAATATTAAAAAAATGAGCTCAATGAAAAGATATTTATCAATTTCATCTTTTTAAAAACCATCAAGTCACAAAGAGAACAGAAGTACATTTTTTTTTTTAATCCAAATTAATCTGATGAAACCTTTCTGTACGGGAAACAAGAGCTGGAATAAAGTTTAGGTTATTTTAGAAATGCTAATTATTATTATTATTTTGTCTTTTGTACTTTTAAAATATGTATTTAGATATTGTATATTGTAGAAATGAACAAAAATTTGCTTTGAAAAATGTTCACCTGCTTCTTTTAATGAAATGTGAACAGACAGAACAAAGAATTTTAATTAATATTAAAACATTTCCTTTTTGGTTTTCACATGATATTACCATTTTATCAACCATTTTTTTTTGTTGTTTTATTGTCATTACAAATCACACACAGACACACATACATACATACATATATATATATATATATATATATATATATATATATATATATATATATATATATAGTGAAACTGCTTATTTAGTTTATTTAATTTTTTTTTTTCTTCAAACAGGCAGACATTGCATATTTAATAATTGTTTATTGATCTGTTTTATATGAACAACTATTTTTACCTTAACTAATTTTTTTCTCCTTTTTTTCCAAAGCTAGCTATAGAATTTACAATTATTTTTTTTATTATTCAAATCTAAAATTCATATGTATTTCTTTTGTTCTGAAATAATGCAAGGATATTAATCATTAAATTGTTATACACATTGTATGCCTTTAATCCAGCAACTTGGGATCTGACCATTATTGGACCAAATGCCAAAGAAACAGGAATTGTCCCTTAATAGGGTGGAAAATAGAACAATATATTTTAACAGATTGTGATATCTATCAGAGAGATGAAATTATTTCAAAATTTTAACACATTAGCAGATAGCTATTAATGTCAACAACTGAGCACAAATGGTTATTAATTTAAAAAAATAGTAATATTATCCATAATTACATGTACAAGAATGTTATTTTTGATAAGTTAAAAAATAACCATAAATACATAAAAAAAAATGCATATATTGTCAAAAAATTCCTTTTTCCACAATATAACTATTTGTGCTATGTTACAATGCTTATTACCTAAGCAATAATACTGAACATTTTTTTAAACATTAAAGTATATTTAATCACATCTCCCTAATAGCTGTTGTGATCTGTAAATACAAATTATACAATATAAATTACAACAAATAAAGATTATTTCTGCTAAGTTATGCATTTTATTTGGTTTTATTAAAAAATAAGGAGAAAAAATATATGCCTAAAATAAATACAAGTTTTAGAATTTAATTTCCTTTTTTTATTTAGTTCCATATTGTAAATAGGTTTTTACATATTCTGTTTAATAAGTTGTTTTTTAAACGATTGAATTATGGTTGTAAACACAATTTGAAACCAAATCATAGAACTTTAGTGGCAAATCCACAAACAAATGTCAACAGATTCAAAAAGTGGTTGACAATAGAAGCTGCCAGATCACAAAGTGCTGGGTTAGGGATGATCAGTTATACAAATATGATTATTTAATGAGACTTAATTATAAATATATATGTATGCATGCAAGAGTAAAAACTGTGTTGTTTGTTTTTACTTACATCATTGTTAAATATTTTGTCTTTAATTTGTGAATTCTTCATAAATTTACTCTTCTATATTAATTCATTCTGCTCATTTTCCTGATCATGGTTTCTATCAGAATGTTTCCACTGATGTAATTTTTTATCTTTATTTAGTCTTTAAATGTTATCTCCTAAACAATTTTCCAAGTAAATAAAAACATCAAAATATTACATTTGGCTCCTCAGGAGTTCAATCCTTGATCTATGCAAAACAGAAATATACATTTGATCAGTAGAGACAGATTGACACCATAAGACAGAATTAGCAAAAGTTTTAGAATTGACAATAAAGGATATTGACAACAGTAAAGACAATAGTATACTTGAATCTATCAACATGCCTGGATGGTGACTCAGTGTGACAGTATGGCTTAAGGGCATGGGCAGCAGAAAATGTTATGCTAAAAACAGCAAAGATGAGGATGTTAGTCTGAATGAATTAATATGTAAGAGTAAAAACACCTCATTTCAAAAATTCGGATAAAAATAAAGTTTTTTTTTTTTATTTTTGGTATATGTATAAGAAAAAAATTATCTAAATACTTTATTTTTAAAACAAATTATAATGTTTATGATGATAATGTGGGGCTTGGGGTTTTAAAACCAATTAATACCTAATAAAAAAAATCCAGTTTTAATTATAAAAATTAACATTAAAATCTGGTATTGTAGATTTCTAAAGAAATTAAATATTAATTATAAGTTTCTATCTATAAAACATAAAAAAGTTTGTCAGTGGAGATTAATGGGTTAATTTTAGTTACTTTTTATTATTATTATTATTATTATTATACTCTTAAATGATAATTCCATGAAATGGTGAGCCATTTATGTTAATGCTGTTCTTAATATTAAAATAGTAGTGAACAGAACAATATGGATTAAAGTAAAATACTAAAACTATAATAGAAAAATTTAAGAAATTATAACTCTACTTAACATAGCTTTCAGAGCTTCATGGGAAAGCTTTCCTACATGAAATAATAAGCTCCTTTAAAAATAAAATGTATTAAAATCTCATCAAGAAAAAAACAACTATTTCTTTATTCTGAATTTCTGTAATTTAATTGCTAATATTTTTTAAATTTCAGTTTATTATGTTTTTTTATTTATGTTGTTGTTTTTGTTGCTTTTCTTATGTTTTGTATTTGTGTTTTTGTTTGTCTTTTTTTTTTTTATTCTTATAATCAGTTTTGCCATCTTCATTCATTTATATGTTACTTTCTTCAGCTCATTTCTCGAGATGTGCCCAGGTCCAGTTCTTCTAGTTCTCCTCCCTGTTCTCCAGTTCCAATGGCTGATTCCAACACGTAATTTTCCCTTTTTCTATCGCATGCAGTACTGCATTTATCAAGGAAAAGAAATTTCTCTTTTTTAATATCCTACTACAACTGTTACTATTGTCATGATTATCTTATTTTTACTACTACTATTACTACTACCTACTTGCTTACTACTATTTTTCTTTCTCTTTCTTGTCATACAAATCTATATCAGTATTCTCTCATGCAAGTTTGACATTTATTCAATATGGTGGCTGCATCATTTCACTCTGCCATTGTTTTCCCATGATCCCTTGGTGTATCATGTCCTCCTGCTCTAGCTGCTACTGCTAATGTATTATTCTGCCAATGGCACTTTCTCCTCACTGCACATATGCATCGCTGTGCACATGGCGATACAGTTGCAGCCTCTTGTCTGCCTCAGATTGTGCTCTTCTTGTCCTTTCTATGCTTACATCTCAAACTCAAACATTTATAGGTGGAGCCCTGGAAACTCTTTAAAGAAAAGTTGAATGGGGGCTTGACTTGACCCAAGATTGCATTTAAAACTCTTCCAGTCTCAAAAATAAGATCCCTCTGAATTTGCCCTTGAAAATCAGTTCTTTTTTAAGTACTGTTAAAGAAAAATAAGCCTATTTGCATACACTATTCATAGTGGGAGCTATAGGTAATAGGTGATACTTAATAAAATTTTCTTTATTGTTTTATGATCGGTTTCAATAAAAATAAACAAACATTGTAGTGTTTACAAACAGCAACAATAGAAACCAAAAGCATTAAAAAAAAACAGACATTTTAAAAGTACATATAAATACATACAAAAATATATTTAAAGAATGGGAGAGGAAGAGAAAAAATAAGACAAATAAATTACTCACTGTAAAGTGGTGGATTGAAAATATAACAAAGAATAAACAATAAAAAAGAGACTAACTGGTTATTGTTCCTCACTCTTCATAGCTCAGTCAAGGACAAAAAAAATATAAATATGTGCACAATGATTAAAAAGAAGAAAAACTTTACTACCAGAGAATCAGTAATATAGGGATTTTTTCACAGTAATTAGCAGGGCACATTCAGTTTACCATCTGAGAGTTCTCAAGATCATTTAAATGAAGTCTAAGCAGCCTTCCCTCTAAGTAGAAGTAATGGCTGCTGGGTCTAAATGTAATCTATCTGTAATTTACCAGTTTAAGTGTCAGTGTGAAGCTAATTATATAGGTTGGACCACTCAACTTGTAGAAAAGAGAATTGCCCAAATAATGCTTAACACACAACAACAGACATTGGCAAATTATTTCTGTACCAGTTTGTATTAGAAAAGATTGATTGGAAAATTTGCATAAGTGTTCTGTTACATCCAGGTCTGCAATCTCGGAAAATCTTATTAAAAATAGGGAATGTACATCTACTTTTCATGAGGATGTTTTCTCAGTCTTGACTAGATCACATTTTGACTATCACATGAAAGTCCTCAAGACAATTTATATTAAATCAAGACAACCTCCTTATGCAAACAAAAGGACTGGTTGTTAAGACTTGTGTGATTTGTCTCTCAGTATACCTGTGTCAATACATTATTGATGGGTGTATATTTTTTTCCCTTGTGTTTCCTTTTTTTAGTTACTGTGCACAGTATCTTAATTTCCTCAGTGAGGAGTGATAACCGGTTAGCTCATTCTATAATATTTTTGTTTTGCTTTTTTTCCTCTCTTCATTTTTTCTTCACAGATTTCTTCACTAGTTCAAAATACCTTGTGTGGACACTCTTCAATATTACAGTTTATTGAAAAACTTCAAAATTTTGACAAACGTCCTGTATTCATTATGAAATATTTCCACGTCATTTTACATCCTGGCATTATTTATACAAGTGAGGGTTGAAAAGTTCTTGGCTCCAAAAATCAGTATTCTGATACTTGGTCATTGAAATACTGAATTTTGGAATATGGGTTGAGCTGAGACCTTTTCAGCACCTCCTCATATTTCCTCAACTCTCCACCATTTTTTAAAGCCTTTTGACTAATATTGGTTATATTATAATAAATAATTTGACAATGTCTGTTGTTGTCTGTCAGTCATTATTCTATTTTAATTTGGGAGTTGTTTTTTTTTTTAAATAAATGAATTATATAATACTCAAACATATACTTTGATTTCTGTTCCAATTTTTAATGATGTAGATCATAAGTTGTTTAAATTTTAAATCTTCATTGTTTGGGTTGTACTCATTCAAGTTATCTCCCCCTTTTTGACCTATTTGAAGATCCTACTGTTTTTCTTTTAATCTATATAATATCTTTTGTTCTATGGTTAATGGCTTCCTGATTGTGTTTTGAAATGATGTGTTTGCTATTTTTACTTATTTTTTGTGTACGCTTCTTTCTACCAACTTTATCATTTATAATTTTTTTAATCTTTCTTTTTTCTGGTTTCTGATTGGATTCGCATGAGTTTGGGATTTGAATAACAGATTCTGACGCATGTTTTTTATGAAAAAAAAAAAAAAAAAACTAAAAATCTTTTTTGATTTTTGATAACTGCAGTTTTTAAATAATGTATTGGCATTATTTCATACATCATTTGGACTATTATTTTCATTTTTGTTGCTTTTATCCTGACTTTTTGGACTATGTCTTATGACTGTTCTCAGGTGTTTTTACATCTGCTAATCTTTCGTTAGAAGACCAAAGAACATATTGGCTGAAATATGGTTCAAAACAAAGATGGATATACAGGTTCAAATGATGTGTAGAAGTGTTGATTTCTGCATGTCTTTTGCAATCACACAATTCTTAACATGGCACACCATTACTACTCAATAAACTTTTCGTTAACATCATGTAGGCATATTTTATATATTTAACTCTTTTGTGCCAAAGATTTTAAAGAACTCTTTTGTTAAAATGGCATTTTTATGTCCAGTTTTAAATTGGTAAACAAATATTGGAAAATTGTCTTTCTTGCAAATATTTAGTATCAGGGAAGCAACCCTCTCATTCAAACTATTTAAATTTACTTCAAGTTGCTTTTCTGGATTGCTGTTCAAAAGAAAAGTATAGAAATAATGCTGTTATCTATAATAAACCTACCAATAATTTTCTTTTTTTGAAGTACAAGAATAAACTGAAATATATTTTTAAAAAAATGGTGAGGCAGGTATTCTATTATTGTTTTAATGCAAATTTACTTAAATATTGTAAACCTCTGGTAATTTTAGTAATCTAGAATCTCCTATGGATGTCATGCATGGCATCCAACTTGTTCAGAAAAGTCTATACTATTAGCCAAATACAACTGTTTTCTCAGATCAGTGATTAAAAAAAGGTTTAAATAAATAAATCCTTACAGACCTTAGAGAAGACAATCTTTCATTGGATTTTATAGACTGGCGCTACAAAATTACAAACAAAAACCGAAACCACTTGAAGACTTCCAACAGCAGCCTCAGTTCAAATGGATAGCAAATTTAACTAAAAGGGAAAATAACAATAATAAAATCAAGATGTTCACTTTCCAGGCTGCCTTAAACAAAGAGAAAAGAAACTTCCATTAATATAAGAAAGAGCTACAACATTTTTTTAAAATCTGTTTTAAGAGAAAGATTTTATAATAGCACTAACTGTTCAGTCAATCAACACCAAATGTTTCCTGTATGGAAACTGCTAATCTCAACATTAGTCTAAAATGATTTTTTTTAAAAATACCATTTTCTTTTATATAAATTTTAGCATAAAGTTTTAAAAAATGATTTACATAAATTTTTATATTAAAATGCACAAAATTTAATTCATAAAATTTAAGCTTGTTCATCTCCCTATAGCAAATGTTCTCAGCACCCCCACTGCCTTTAAGATAGTAAATTATTAATTAAGAGTTATTACAGTCTAGAGAAAAGGTTTCCCCCCTTCACACATACAACAGCCCTCCTCACTTCCATCTTGCTACACCAGTGTAACCAACAAATATCAGATATTTTTTATTTGGTTCTTTCTTCACATCTGTGCCATGTATGATTGTGTAAAGCAAACAAGAATGTCTTTGTTTCTTTCACATACATTGTTATCAAAAATAGAAAAGAAATTTATTAATTTTCCTGTTTTATTTGGACTGGTTTGTTCTGATCTGCTTTCTCTTGGTTTGGTCTGGACATTTATGCCTCAGTCTCTCAAAGGCACTGAAGGTAATAAACATGGTTGGATGACTTTTCAGTTGGACTTTCATTAGATATAAAATTCATGATGTTTGATATTTTATTCTGAGTATAGAATCAGGAATAATCTTTATTTTCATTGTACCTGTCATATTGTTTTGTCCATGAATTTGTCTTGCAAATTGTGTTAAATAATCAGTTTCAAGCACAAACTGAATAATTAGTTTGAACAGATTTATAATCTGGATCTTGGGAGCATAAAACATGTTTTTGTATTTTTTTGGGGGGGGGGGTAAATGAGTTTTCATACTAAACTATAGTATTGCTATCATATTTGCATATGTTAAATGTAATAATAATTATGAAACAGAGGTTTTATTTTTAATAGAGTGCAGCATTAACGCAAACTGATGGATACTGAATGAAAACAAACTAAATATTTTTGGAGAAATTTTGGTCAACACTGAAATTTGGCTGTCTATTTTCAAAAAAGTTAAAATAATTAAACAGACATTTTTTAAAGTATTAATATCAGAAAAAAATAGGAAATTGGAAATAGCCTGGGAAAATTGCAGATGTGCTCTTTAGTGAAGACTGTCTTACAAGCAATTCCAGGCCAACTATGCCAAACTCTCTTGACTGTGCTGTTTCCCCAACTTGGAGAAAAAATAACCATTAAGCAAAATGTGTGCTGACTTTATATAGGGAAATCTTTTCCAATAACAATGATTAATGACTTCCTCTATCTAGACAATTCACAATGCCCAATTTCATTATCTCCATATTCCCATTAACTTCACCAGAAATCCAAATAATGATGACTATAAAAATTGCAGCTGATTGTCACAGAAAAAGGCACATCTTAATCTTAGGC